CGAAGTTTCCAAAATCAACAATCAATGCACAACTTATACACTTAAGTTAAAATGCATTTAACCACCTTCCATACAAAACCACATAGGGATTCACACAAAACATGCTTTAGGTCTTCAACTACAATGGCATTTATAAGGAAAGCAAGTCCACAATGTGAATCATTAAGCTGCCACAAACTTGTCAACTTATGAAGTCCATCCAACTCATTATATAACAAGTTTCATCAACATAGTATTGAATTTATAACAAATTATAGGCATGCTCTATCCAAGAATCACATAATCTCTATATATAGAAATCAATAGATTTTAGATTACCATCAAATGGAATAACACAAACACAAGATATAAGTTATATACAAGCTATAACAATATGAAACCCTAGGTTCATCATACACAATAGCAACCTATATACAACCCTAGAAGTTATAAGCATGTATACAACATATATTAACCCTAAATTAAGCATTAAGACACTAAGGGTATAAACATAGGACATCCCCTACCTCAATAGAGTAAAAAACCTCTAGAATCCAAGTGAAAATGGTGCAATGGAAATTCCAAGAAATAGCCCCCAAAGGTGAAGCACCCAGCTAAAAGTCTTCAATGGTGAGGGGAGATTTTGAGGGGAAGGTGCATGAAATCAAGGTCAAAGGTGTAGGTTAATGGAGGTTTAGAGAGAGAGTTTGTGAGGAAGAAGATGAAATTAGTGGAAATAATTGTATTCTTCCACTAACTAAAACATACACACACACAATCCACTATGCTAGCACTACCTCACACACACACACACACACACCCCTAATCTCCACCCTCCACTTATCATGATCTCAAACAACCTCACAAAAATTAATTTTAAGCTTACACTTGTCACCATCCTAAGCCCCTTCATAAGGCTTAATCTAAGCCCTACACTTGGCAACATCACAAGCCACCAAGTGTCCTAATCCAAGGCCAACAAGTGGGTAAATCTACACCCAACACTTGTCACCAAACAAGGCTTCCAAGTGTTTCCACTACAAAGCCTACAAGTGGTCCAATGAGAATGCGACACTTGTCACACTTTCCAAAAATTACAAAATGGTCCTTCCCCAAAATATCTCACAAAAATATTTACAAAATGATCCCTAGAGAAAAATATCTCAAAAACTTAATTACACAAAGTACACTAAAAAGAATAAATGTTTCTGAAGAAACTATGCATCCATACCCCTACGGGAAAAGTAAACAAGCTAGCATGCTTTCTACAAAAGTAAAGATATGTATTTCATGTAAATAAAATTGTGTGAATGCATGTGAAGTCGAAAATTAAATCCGAACACAAAACCCTAACTCGAGTTCCCAAAACCCTAAGGTTATGTGAAAAGAAATGATAAACAAATAAATAACGGAAAAAGAAAATTATCGAAAAAGGATGAAAATGACAGGTTATTACATAGATTATAATCCTTCTTCTTACTACTAAAAATGGATTTATTGGTAATCTGGGCCTGGAGCTCTATTATTTCGGGCCTTCTTAGTGTATCCAACCCACTATATCCGATTGTGCCGACCCAGACTTCTTGCTAAGGCCTAGTTTAAAAGTGGAATAGTCTTTGTGTTTGTAGTAGACCCTTTATGCGATGACATGTCATTTTTTCATTGGTGGGAAAGTATTTTCCCTCCACACCTGGGCAAATCAAACCAAAATGATGAAAATTGCTCCTAATGAGGAGGCAGTGGAAGAGGAGCCTTTTAGGAGTTCCAGTGGAAAGAACCAACATGATATTCTTCACTTAAGCAGGGTTTGTGTGGGGAATACCTTGAAATAGGATATGAAATCTATATAGACGAAGCTGAAACAGGTCAACTAGATTTAGGTCAATGCGGTGGCCTCTCTTTTACTGTAGAATTGTCTAAAGAATACCTTTAAAAAAAAGTTAAAATGGGTAATGGATTTTGCTTGGATAAAGATGGGAACAAAATCCTCTCCTGCACTACAGGAGAACCTGTGCCATCCGATGAGCTAAAATGGTAAATGTTAAAAATTGAAAAAACAAAATTTTTGTAGCTACATACACACATACATACAGGACACTTTGGGATGTACCTTAGAAAAATGTTAGGATGCTAGTAAAGAGAAAGTTGGGATATACATTAGGAAAATGTTATGATGTAAGGCCAACGTCCCAACATTATCCTAATATATATCCCAAATAAGATAAAGAAATGAATAATGGGATGTTGGTAAAGAGAAAGTTGGGATATTGGTAAGGAGAAAGTTGGGATGTAGGTTAGGAAAATATTGTGATATACAGTTTGTACTAAGATATGTTTATTTATGTATTTGTATAATAAGTGAGATGTTGGTAAGGAGAAAGTTGGGATGTTGGTAAGGAGAAAGTTGGGATGTAGGTTAGGAAAATGTTGTGATATACAGTTTGTACCAATATATGTTTATTTATGTATATGTATAATAAGTAACTTAATACAGTGAATTTTTTTCTGACTTGTTTGGGCAACGACGTGGCTCAATAAGAGCTAAGTAATGTTCACTGACTCAGATACTGTAGCACTAGAGAGGATTTTGATCCATATATGGATGGGATTATAAGTCAGACTGGGGGTCAAAGTTTATACCCAGACCCGTCCCATCACCTTATTGGGCAGGCTAAGGCGCTTAGTGAGTCATGAGCCATTTTTGTTTCCTTACTTGATTAGGACCTTGAAACCGAACCATTATATTACACACACACACCCACACACACACACCCACACACACACACACACACACATATATATATATATATATATATATATATATATATATATTATGTATCCAACCCTTAAAAAATTTACTTTTTCATTCCGAATGGGACAATACTTGCCTACTCACCGGTGAGTAGAAACTTCATACTTACCACCTGTGTGACAGGACAATAAAGTGACAAGTGTCCCTCCAATATAAAATAAAAAATAAAATATTTGAAAAATTATTTGAGTTAAATGTACCCAATAAAATCTAAATCAAATCCTAATTTGATTATTTCTCTTTCTCATAAAATCCGAATCAAACTTTTTGATTAAATGCCAAAAAAAATTATGTAGAACGAATTTAATTAAGCTTTTTGATGATGGTGAGACTTAAGAGTTCAATTGTAAACCTAGTCACTCCCTGCTAGAGTATTTGCATTAAAATAGGCTTATTAACATTATTCAAATAAATAAAAGAAAGTATTTAGTCATGATTTGGTTAAAAAATAAAATCTGTTTTCTTAAGAATTCTTTTTGGTTGATTAATTATAAGACAATCATAGATTCATATTTATTTTTACATGTGGGACAAGACACCATTAACAAGTACAAGCATCTACCTTTACACAAACAAATTTTTTTTTTTTTCCTTGTCAACAAGAAGGCAACGGAGGGCTAAACAACACAAGCCACGCTTCAAAAGAACAAAATCAATATATATATATTAGTTCACACATGAAATCTTATCACCCACAATCGAAAATTCTAATCCAATTCCTTTTATGGATTTGATTTGAGCAAGATATTTGTAATTGTGATTCCTTAAGGCTTAGGGATTAGGGCAACAGAGTAGCATGGGAAAAAGATAATTAGATATGGGTTTAATTTGGATCCTACTGGATTTAACCCAAATAACTTCTTAAATCTTTCATTAATTTTTTTTTTTTTTTTTACATTGTAGGGACACTTGTCACTTTGTTGTTCCGCCACATCGATGGTAAGCATAAACTTTCTACTCACAGATGAGTAGGCAAGTATTGTCCTTCGAAAAGGGACACACACTCAGGCTATTGTCCTCACTTCACGGTAAATCCTCCCTTCCTTTGATCTGAAGCTCTTCTGCTCATACCTTCCATTTCTAATTGGAAATAAAATTATTTACATTATTATACCAAAAAAGAAAACTATTTATAGTTGTATTTTTGTGGAAAATGAATATATTGGGTGGAATGATATAATATGATGGTGTGCTGCAGGTGAAGGTGAAGGAAGGAGATGTTGATGGTGAAAAGGTTGCTTACATCACCATTTATATATATATATATATATATATATATATATATATATATATATATATATTGTCTAGCTTCACTATTTCACTAGGCCAAATACTTCTTCACAATGGACATGGACATGTATGAGGTAAAGACTGATTAGTGGTTCGACAAAGTTGATTTTAATCTTGACCAGTACGAGTTAACAAAATTGGGCACAACCATGCCTTTGTTTTAGAAGAAAGTGTGCAGGTAAGAAAAATAAAATACCTAATTTCGAATACTGTATTGTTCTCTGATAACGAAGCCTTCTCTCAGTTCTTCTCTACGGTTGGAGTCACCCTCGATCGTGACCATATATTTTATGACATTCTCTTTGGTTGTCATGGCATAACAACTATCCACACCAGTTCTAGTACTACTAGCCACCCTTCTCTAAGTTGTGACAAAACTATTGACATAAGTGACCATATACTTCGTAACATTATCTCTGGTATTAACATAATTTCTAGTACCAAACCCTTTCTTTTCATGGACAAATTCGTTTTGTGTATGCCGTGGATTGACGATGTGTTAAATGAAAAGATGGAAGAAATATTGAATTTGCTAGAATAATATTATTGATTTTGAAATTGAATCGTGTATTTGTACAGGGAGATTTCAAATCATTCCTCCAAGTTAAGAATCTGTTACTACATTACTGGTTGTCTAGCTATAGGTCAAGCATTACAATAGGAAAGATAATATATACAGATTATCTATTCTTAATATGGAAGATACGAAAGTTTGACTTCCTAACACTCCCCCTCAAGTTGGAGAGTGGATATCCTGCACTCCCAACTTGTGAATCATAGGAACAAAGATCTATTTCCCCAAAGGCTTGGTCAAGACGTCTGCAAGCTGATGTGCAGAATGTACATATCTTGTAGTCACGGAACCATCTTGGATTTTGTCTCTAATGTAATAGCAATCCATCTCAATATGCCTAGTTCACTAATAAAAAACTGGGTTGGCCGCAATGTGTAAGGCAGCCTTGTTGTCGCAATATAGCAAGGCAGATTCATGATGTGAAAGTCCTAAGTCCCTCAATAGATATCGGAGCCATGTCAACTCACAGCAGGCTCCTGTCATTGCACGGTATTCCACCTCGGCGGAAGAGAGAGAAACTATTTTCTGTCGCTTCGACCTCCAAGATATCAATGAAGGTCCAAGAAAGACACAATATCCCATAGTAGATCTCCTAGTGAGTGGGCAACCTACCCAATCCGAGTCACAGTAAGCCCTCAACTTGAAATCACTATTCGAAGAGAAGAATAGGCCTTGGCCAGATGCACCTTTTAGATATCGGAAAACCCGAAGAGCTGACTCCATATGAAGTTTTCGGGGTTAGTGCATAAATCTACTTAAGACATGTGCTGCATATGTTATATCTGGCCTCGAAACAGTCAAGTAAATTAATCTACCGACTAATCTTTTATACTGACCCGGATCTTTGAGCAAATCGCTCTTGTCCGATAATTTCAAGCCTCGTTCCATAGGAGTATCAATAGGGGCTGCACCCAACAGCCCTACATCCTCAATGATTTCTAATGCATACTTTCGTTAGGAAATAAAAATCCCATTCTTAGAAGCAGAAACCTCAATACCAAGAAAGTATTTCAAATCACCAAAATCTTTGAGATTAAAATGACTATGCAGAAAATTTTTAGTTGTAGCAATGTTTACAGGGTCATTTCCAGTAATCAAAATATCATCAACATATATCAAGAGAGCAGTAAAGGACTTGCCTTGTTTTCTGGTGAATAGAGAATAATCGGCTTGAGATTGTACATAACCAACGGAGCGAATAACTTCTGAGAACTTGGCGAACCATTGGTGAGATGCTTGTTTCAAACCATACAATGACTTATGAAGGTGACACACTAAGTTTTCCTCCCCCTGTCGCCAAAGCCCTAGCGGCGGAGACATATATATTTCTTCAACTAAATCGCAGTGAAGAAAAGCGTTTTAAACGTCTATTTGATGAAGGGACTAGCCACGAGCTGCGACCAACACGAGCAAGCAGCGAACGGAGATGATCTTAGTAGTGGGGGAAAAGGTATCTTGATAATCGACACTTTCTAACTGAGTGAAGCCCTTGGCAACCAATCGGGCGAGACCAAGTGCCGTTGGCTTAGAGAGCCTGCAATTCGGAACGCATTGCTTCCTGCCACTTAGGATGAGTGATGGCTTCCAAATAAGACCTAGGTTCCATGATATTACTGATTTGAACAACAAAAGATCGATATGCAGGCTTATATCTTCGATATGAAACATAATTGGCCAGTGGATAACGTGTACCTTTGGTCGGACCAGGCAGTAAGGAGGCCAGTTGGTCGGAGTAAACGTTGGAGCAGACATAATCGTTGAGCTTGGCTAGCGGACCGGTGTGGCGGTTGGAGCGACGAAGTACAGCGGGTTCAGATGAGAAGAAAGGTGATTGTAGAAATGGATTGGGGAGCGGTTTTATGAGGATTCCGGTGCCGGAGAGGGTAAAGTGGATGATGGTGATGGACTTTCGGAGACGATGAGAGAGGATGGGTCGCAAAGATCGACTAGGTCAGAACGATCAAGCGGGTTGGAGTGGGTGCGTAGGATGGCCAGACGATGGGGAGATGGTGGTTCTGGCAGAGGAGAGGAGGCAGACGCAGGCAGTGGACTTGGGAAAGAAGGAGGAGATGTGTTTAGATTTGGAGCGACTGTATGATCGTGTAGTGATGTGTTTGGGTGAGAAATATTTGGATTGGAATTAAAAGGATAAGTGATATCATGGGCCACAAAAGGAATTGGGCCAGAATTTGTGTTTGAAGGAGAAGTAGTAGAATTGGGCTTGACAGATGCATAAGGAAAAATATTTTCATGAAATTTTACATCGCGGCTAGTGAAAACCTTTTTGGTTGACAAATCGAATAATTTGTATGCCTTTTGACCGATGGGATAGCCGATAAAAATTGAGGGTATGGAACGATGGTCAAATTTATGAGAAATATGGACATTAGTAGCATAGGCTAAACAATCAAAGACACGGAGATGAGAAAAAGAAGGCGGTTTGAGTAGAGAATTTCAAAAGGTGTTTTGAAAGAGAGAACCGGAGAAGGGAGTCGATTGATGATGTGTACAGCAAGAAGACCACATTCCCCCCAAAATTGGGTAGGGAGTTGAGCTTGAAATTTCAAAACTCGAGCTACTTGTAAGATGTGACGATGCTTGCGTTCCACAACCCCATTTTGTTGAGGTGTGTAAACACAAGAATGCTGAAAAATGACACCATTATCTTGAAAAAAAGAACAAAGTGAGATAAATTCCCCACCATTGTCACTTCAAAAAATCTTAATGTGAGACTCAAATTGAGTAAGAACATAACTGAAGAATCGTTTTAAAAATGATTGTGCTTTATCTTTGTGTCGCATCAAAAAAAATCCATGTGAAACGTGTATAATCATCAACAATAGTAGGAAAGTAATGAGCACCAAAAAGAGAAGGGTGTCGATAATGACCCCAAATGTCACAATGAATTATTTCAAAAGGTTTAATAGAAGAAATTACACTAGGACTGAAAGGTAAATGACTCTGCTTAGCCAAAGGACATATAGGGCAAACATTATTGGACTGAATGGAAAAATTTTAAAAATTCTTGGCAATGAAACTTAAATGAGGAGGTGATGCATGGCCTAAGCGGTAATGCCAGAGATCGGTGGATGAGATGGTGAGATTGCAGGCTAGTCGGTTTGTGGGTGAGGAAAAGTTGGTCATGGATTTCTTCGTCGCTAGTGCCACCAAATAGTATAGTCCGTCATGTTGTTTACCCAAACCAATCATCCTCCTCGTAGCCAGATCCAGCAAAATACACCAATGAGGAAAAAATATTACTGAACAATTCAGGCCTCTTGTCAGACGACTAACTGACATTAAATCAACTTTGAATGTAGGTACACATAGCATATCATGCAAATAATAGACGGAATTCAGAGGCAATGATCCTTTTGCAACAATATTAGCTTTTTCTCCGCTAGGTAGTAGTACGGGAGGCAACGAGCAATTTTTATCTTTTTGGAAAATTAATTTAGATGATGAAGAAATATGATCCGTCGCCCCGCTATCAATGATCCAACTGCGAGAAACGACTTTAGACAAACCTGGCTTGGTTACGGCATTTGCTTGAGAGCTAGATCCTTCATTTTTGTTGTCAAGAAGCGATAAGAGCTGTTGCAATTGAGCCTTCGAAATCCTAACAACTTGGTTTCCGTCTTCTTTAGAAAAGCCCTCGGACACATGATTAGCTGCAGGCTTGTTATTGTTGCTGAAGCGTTTTGGGCCTAAATTAAACTTTGCCTTTGGATGGCCCGTTGGATACCCATGTAGCTCGTAACAGGTTTGGACCCAATGCCCCATTTCTCTACAGTGGGAACAATGAGGGCGTCCTCTTCCAGAGCCAGAACGACGCTTGTCTTGATCAAATCGGTGTCCTCCATTGAAATTCTCTGGCGACTTTTCTTGTGATCGAAAATCTTGTGACCCATATGAGCGGTCGGATCGCTCGGACGTCACTGGAGTGGGTTTGTTGCTGTTGCTTCGAACTGCCATAGTGGCGCTGCTACCAGAATCACTTGCAGTGTGCGTTGAGCTCAGGAGACGCTGTTTTTCTTCTTGAGAGACGGAGGAATATGCTTGGTGAACTGAAGAAGGGGATTCATCATAAGGATTTGTCCGTGAATAGCACTGTAAGAATCATTCAATCCCATCAGAAATTGCATCAATTTTATTGATCTTGTTATGCCCCATGTACTACATCGTTGTAGGAAGCTAGTTCATCCCATAGGCCCTTCAATTTTATGTAATAGGCAGAGACAGAGAGTTGTTCTTGTCGAAGATAGGCAATATCTCGCTGAATCTCAAAGATGCGAAGTGCATTGCTTTGAGAGAATCGCTCACGAAGATCTTCCCAAACTTCATGAGTAGTGGAGTAATAGATCACACTGTCTGAAATTTCCAGACTGAGAATGTTGACAATCCAGGAGTGGACCATATCATTACATCAATACCAAGCTGCATAACCTGCAGGATCAGCTTCTTCTGAAGGGGCTTGATTGAGCCATTGACAAAGCCTAGCTTGTTTTTGGAATTTAAGGCCAGAGTTATAACCCTTTTCCAAGTAGAATAATTGTCTCCATTCAAAGGTTTGGAAATCAAAACCAAACCCGGATGATCTGAATGATGAGTGAAATAGGGATTTGAGATATTCGCCTTTGAAGGATCTGTAGAAGAGTTAGGAACGGCAATTTCCTTGCCAGTGACGAAAGGCGTTGGTGGTACTTCATCATTGGCCATGATGGCTGAAAAAGAGAGATGTTACACGAGAGATTAGAGTGTAGTGATGAGTCAGGATCTTAGTACTGCTTTGATACCATGAAAAGATGGAAGAAAGATTGAATTTGCTAGAATAATATTATTGATTTTGATACTGAATCGTGTATTTGTACAGGGAGATTTCTAATCATTCCTATAAGTCAGGAATCTGTTACTACATTACAGGTTGTCTAGCTATAAGTCAAGCATTACAATAAGAAAGATAATATATACAGATTATCTATTCTTAATATGGAAGAAACGAAAGTTTGACTTCCTAACATTAAAGACTGTGCGGGTAAGTAAATCATCCATTCAAGCCTTAGAGAAAGTGATAGTAATCCAAGATTACATGGATCATTGTGTGATTTGTTTGGACAAGTTTCGATTTGGTTCTAAAGTTACTCGTATGCCATGTGATTATATCGATCTACCATGAAGATTGCATTATCCATTGGCCAGAGATTAGTAACTTTTGTCCGATTTGTAACTTTAAGATGGTTGATTAGAATTGTTTTTTTTTTTTTTTTTTTTTTTTTTTGTTTTTTCTCAAGTGTAATGACACTATTTTTATTTTATCTTATTTTACTTTTTCTAGTGAATGTAATGACATTTTTTATAATATATGAATCGTTTTTTTTTTTTTTTTTTTTTTTTTTTTTTGTATTAATTCATGTAATATGTTCTTGATTTACTATCCTGACTGTAGTATCAATTCTTAATGTGTAGTAATGGAAATAAAATAATTATAAGATTTATAATTAAATAAAAAAGGGTAAATTGTAGTGACATCCCCCAGGTTTGCCTAAAAGATAGGTAGATACAACTTAGGCCCTTTTTGGACAGTGACACCCCCTAAATTTGCAAACTTGAATAATGACACCCCATTCTATAAAAAATGAGCCAAACACATTCTTAATTGACATAAAATGTTTAATATAGATATATTTTAATTCTTATAAAATGACCAAACTACCCTCTCCTTA